CAGCTGACAAACGAGGTGTTGCAGATGCTTTCGGCTCATTTGCAGTGAGGTGCTCAAACCAACACACCACGGCTCAACCGACAAATGAATAAGACATTTAGATATTTGAATGTGATCGTCTGGAGTGGTGAAATAACCGGAAGTACAAATGTTGCATCATAATTTCTAATTCTAGTTAGGAGAATGATATTAGTTTGCGTAAAAATATCAATGCAACGAGAGGAACTATTGTTGTATTTGGTAAAATATAGAACTTTTGAAGGATAGAAAACATTAAAAAAAATAAATTTGACGATCACAAATTAGATTAAATTATTGACCTCAAAATATTTGAGATTAATTCTCATTCAAACTTTTTAAACCACGACACTCAAAATAAGATACAGAGGTAAAATTTTCATAAAAAAATATCCTCCGAAAAAAGACAAAAATTCATTACAATTAAAAGGCATTGACGAAAAAAGACTAAAAATCAGAACTAAAACTACTATCTGAGTATTTTTATTGAATTTTTCTTTGAAAAAGGTGAGTATCGAGTTAGCCTGGTGGATACCCCACATCCATGAACAGAAGCTCATGAACATGGAGTAGATCTAGCTGCTTTAGTCTCAGTAGAACTAGAAGAATCAATCTATTAGCTAGAAGAATCAATCAACAGACGAAGCCATTTGCACAACTGCCTGTGAAAGAGGAGATAATTCTATTGATAATCTAGCTCAAAGGAAATAATGTCTTTCTTTAGAAGCAATCTTTTCAATGAGAAAAGAAACCAAATAACCCACACTTGTGAATTTGTCAGACTTGAAAATTCATCTCTTTAGTTAGGCATTATTTGATTTTTTTTGAAAATATTTCAACCTGGAACGAACTTTCTTAACACCCCTTGTAATACATTGTTTTTGACTACGTTACACAATTCGCAGTTTTTCTTCTAGAAAACATTGAAAAATTATGATAATTGAGAATGGTCTTCAATTTCAACAATTGTCATTTTTTTATTTTGTTAATTGATTCATGTAAATTTACAAATACATCCTTTTCTTTATCACACTACAACATAGCATAATTCAAACCATTTCCTCAATAAACTCCGTTCAAAGCTCTACATTAAGCGCATATACGTGGCTATTCAAAAATAATACAGTTATTCATATTCATCAAACTTAGTTTACTATTGTGCGGTTTTTCAACTGGAATCCATCCTTGTACCAAATTGTCAATTATGTATGCAAATTGTTAAATGTACACAATTTTCAACTAGACTGCATCCTCGTAGTGAATTGTGAAAAGATAACATAACTAGAAGTAAGATTGGTGGAAAAGGGAACTTATTGATTTTCTTATTTTCGTTATGTAGACATATTTAATATATATATATATATATATATATATATATATATATATATATATATATATATATATATATAGGTTCTTTTATTGCTGCAATTTACACAAGCAAAAAAGCGGAACGAGCAGAGACCGAAAGGGTGGTGGTACGACGGCATGTACGGGTACATCGGCATGTACGGGTACATATGATTTATATATAATTATATAAATTATTGTAAATTAAATTGTGTTTTGAATGTATATATATTTGGGGGTGGGGTGGGTTGTTTGGAGTTTACAAATGAAAAACAGAAATTAAATCCTTTCTTTGTTATATGTCTTCCTAACATTCTTAAAAAAAAAACTATTAGTTCAATATAGAAAAAATTCATTTTTTTTTTTTCAGAAAAAGAGATTCCGAGGTGTCAAAACAAAATAAAAGAATCATGGAGTAAATAGTGTTTTTTTTCATTAATTATTTTGGTTTGCTTGTTTTGTCGTTGAAAAAGAGTAATGTATTTTGAAATTTGAATACAGAAATACATGGTATACATGTTTGTAATATTTATTCTTTCAGTTCAATGGATTCTGAGAGGCCAAGACAGATAGCAAAGTAAATAGTGTTATAATCATTATCATACATTTTGTTGTTGATGTTGAAAAAGATAAGTAGATTTCAAAATGAAAATAATTCGTGTTTTTTTTTTTTTAAAGATAAAATATGAATTTACATTATATATATATATATATATATATATATATATATATATATATATATATATATATATATATATATATATATATATATATATATATATTTCCTTTCAGTTTACAGACTTACCGGAAGGAAACAAGAGATTGTGAGGTCATGAAGTAAAGTTGGTTGTTGTTGGTGGTGTCTCAAAATAAGACTCATAGTTTGTTTATTATGTTTGTTTGTATTTTATGGTGAATATTTCCCATTTTAAGGGGGATGTCCGGCAACCTTTAGTGCAATAAGAACAAAATGTAAACATTTCTTCAAATGGCTAAAATTCATTATTTATTTTGATCATATTTTTAAAATCTTTATGATAAAGATACAATAGATATGCATATTTGAATGCATGTTTTGTATATATAATCTTTACTTTTGCAGAAAAATGCTTTTGATGTGATTTTTGGAACTGCTCAGCTACAGAATTTAGCAGAACCTTCAAAAATCAAGAAAAAAATGCACAGTGTGCATTAATGTTCTCTCTACAACAATTTGTTGAGAAAATGTCTAAATTTTGCTCTTTTAAATGGTCATTTCAGGTTTAAAACAAGGTACTGTTGTTTTCAAAATGAGTGTAAAGAACCATGAAAGTAGCTCATGGATAGGAGCAAGAGGTCTATTTTTAGCAATTTTTTTCCCAGACCTCTTCTTAATATTGAGGTATATAATTATCTTAAAAGAGTAGAAGAGAATTACAATCGGAAAATGTTTCAAATAATATGAGCACTTTAAAAAGAGGAATTTGTGTTATATTGTGACTTTAAGTAATTAGAATTATTGTCGAACAGTAAGTTGTTTAAAACGTGTTGATATAAAAAAAATTTCAACTCTTTGATTCCATGCTAGGAGCACCATCAAAGTTAAAAATTAATAATAAAAAAAATAAATAAATAAAAAAAGCTGAGCGTCCTCCTTGCATAGCCCCATTTGAAGATAGAAATACGTATTAATATCATTTCAACATAGCTGTGATTTTGTTCTACATGAAGTGAGGGGGGGGGGCAGAGACATACTATTGCCCCCCCCCCCTCCGATCTGAAAATGGGGGGGGGGGGCTAGTGTCCCCCGCTGCCCCCCTGTGACTACGCCTATGGCTAGCGAATTAACTAAGAAACACTTAACAAAACTTTACTCTTTGTATTTTTTAATCAATCAATCAATTGTTTGTGAGTGTAATCTCGGAAAAGGTACATATGTAGATCCGTATCTAATATGTGGCACAAATGAATAAAAAATATATATTTTTAATAAACCAGGTAAAATACGTCTTTTTTCAAAACGTGACATTTCCTTAGTATTTTTGTGGTATGCTCACTCGTGATGCAACTCATTAAGCTAATTGATAGGTTAGAAAGTAGCGTCAGTGCCAAGATAAGCATATCAATTTTTTCCTACATCAGAAAATCCAGTTTTGTCGATCTGTTTATAATAGGAAATGTCAGCTAGACTTTGCATTTCTTTTACAAAATGGCATGTGAGTGCAGTTAGGTACATATTTCTCCTTTCAGGGAGAGGTAGTTTTGAAAAAAAATGTATCTACCTGCTGTTGTACTTTTTAAGGGCTTGAAAGAGTGGGGTGGGGGTAAAATGCAATGGGAATTGGGTATAAACATGTTATCCAAACCCAAATTAAAGATCCATTCCTTTCAAATCACGTTAACTTTCTCTCTATATTAAAGATTGTATTCCATAAAGGTACGCATATCAGTGATA